TTTTTAGGGAAGGATCTACAGGGTGTTCAGGGTGTCACTACTAGATTGGACTCATAGTGATCCTCTTGTTTATAGCCTCCCAAGGGCTGGGATTGCAGGCACACGCCACCACTCCAGTCTCAATTGCTGTCTCAGCTTGGCCTGTGGGCAGGGCTGGCAAGGCATACTCAGGGATCAAATCCCTGGCCCCTGTGCCTGCTTGCAGGTGCTTTAATCTGCTGAGCTATTTGGCTGGCACCAAATTTTTTTTTTTTGAAACCAGAGATTGAACTCAGGGCCTTGCACTTACAGGCAAGTGCTTATTCAACTGAGCTATCTCCCTGGCCCCTCTCCCAATTCTTATTAGTACCTAATAAATATATTTTCATTAAAGAGATGACACTCTACTTGTCTTAAATTTTTTTTTTTTTTTTAAGAATACAAGGACCAGCCAGATAACTTAGTGGACTGAAGCACCTGCTTAGGCAAGCCCCGATCCCCATGGTGCTAGCCCCACCCATGGGATGCTGAGCTAGACTGAGACTGGGTGTGGTGGCACACACCTGTAATCTCAGTGCTTGGGAGGCTGAAAACAGGAGAATCACTCCAAGTCCAATCTTTGCAGTGAGACCCTATAGACCCTGTACTAAATACATTTTTAAAAGAACAAGAAATAGTGATAGAAGAAAAACAGCATTAGAAATGATACAAAATTTCACTACAGTAACAGAAATTCAACAGTGATTGCTGTATTACATGATGCTGTCTTCAAATTAGTTGCTCAGGTTACCAGATAAAATATGCAAGATTCATGTACAGAAATAACAAAACAATAAATAAAAAAGTTTTAAGAAATTCAAAAGTAGAGGAAGGAGGAGGAGGAGAGTAAAAGAATAAAAAGAAAAAAATGGAAAGGTTAACTGCTTCTTTCAAAAGACAAAAAGAAAAAGAAAGAGTAGAGTGTCATCAAAAGTAAGTTTCCCAGTTTTATTGTAATTTAAGATGTTTCCTAAACCAAATGTTTCCAGCTTTAAATGTGTAAAGAAAAATTATTAAATATCTTCCTAGTCTGTTTATATTAACTTGGAAATTTCTAATCAGAGTTTTGATAGTATACCTTTTAGGCTTTTACAATATACTGAAATGCTCCAGAACAAAATATTAATGAATTCTGGATTAAGTAACCTATTTTTAACAAAATATTTCTACATGTAATGAATTCCTTAGTGTAATATCATAAGTATTTCTTTATTAAGCAAAACTATTTAAAAATTAAAGGGTGGTAAAAACTCACTAGGCCCTGGGCCGGGGAAATGGCTCAGTAGAATAAGCGCTTGACTGGCAATCTCAAGGATCTGAGTTCAATCCCCAGTTCCGCACACACAAAAAAAAAAAAAAACTCACTAGGCCCTCAGCTGTCACTAGTATACCATTTTTTATTTTTTATTTTATTGAGAAACAGATAGCAATGAGACAGTTTCAAAACTGATTACTAGCACAGTTTCAGTAATACATTGCATATTGTTGTCTTTGTAGTGGTTATTCATAGTACAAGATGCAGACATGATATCCTGTCCAAATACTCTTAGTACTAATCTTTCTTCTCATTGAATTAAGAGAAAGTAGCTGTATATCTATCCTATTTTGTATATACAGATACAAAATGGTCCTTCATTTATATCCCCTTTTTTTTGTTTAGTTTTATCAGAGATAGGTATTCCATTGCCATTTAAATATTGTAGGTACATGAATTCAGCCTAATAATCCCATATAATCCAGTAGTCCATAATAGTAGTG